ATGGTCGATGCGATACAACTTTTGATTGAAGCCAAGCCTTTGTTATTTAAAAGTGGGCTGGACCTTACCAACACAACATTGTCACTTCTTTGGAGATCCGTAGTATTTGGATTTAAAAGGTCCGTACTATTTGGGTTCCGGAGTTTATTTTTGAGATTTACAAAAAAAGAAAACAAAAACAAAATTTTTTTCAAGTTAACCTTTAGAAAAAAAAGTGTAGAAATATTTGAATATTTGTTAATAATATTTAAGTTTGATATTGTTGTTGCTATTACTAACAAGCTTGCTAGGTTGCGCATGCAGCCAGGAAGATGAATGATTGTAGTCGAGAGTATTGTTTTAGTAGCCATTTTATCAATTTTGGATAATTATTTTTTTTATAAGATAATCACCCCTCAAAATTGTTTCCATTAATGTTAGTGATTTTACAATCGTGGTGATGAAATAGATATACTCTTATAATTAGAGTTGCCGCTGGTCAACTTTTGCTGGTTACTTGTCCTCAAACCATTTTGCCCTTTTCTTCGAATAGTATTTGTTTTTCATGTTTTAGTTCGAAAAGAAAAGTCTCCCTCTCCGCAATGGAAAAAAATTATTTTCTGTCCAGACTATCTTATAATTAAATTGCCCTTTCTGCTGCACATTGCATTCATGCATTTATGCCTTTGCATTCTTCCAAAGGCTAAAATTAAAGCATTATTGATACAGTGCAAACATGATGAGCAAGGAAACAAAATGGAGTTTTCCATAGAATTTGTAATTTATTTTATGAAATTTATGCAAGTAGAGAAACTATCTTTATTCTTTGTCCAAAAGCTTAATTTCAACACTAAAGTAGTCTCTAATTCTAGATATTTAATGTACATAATCTTCTCAATTTCCAATATCATTAAGATATTGATTTTTTTATTTTTTTAAGCATCACCGCAACATTCATCATATTTCTCCTTACTTTGGGTGTTTCTGCACAGCAATTTAAAGTTATTTCCAAAACGGATGATACACAATTTGCTTTGGCAATGAAATGCTCATCCTCCTCCATCAAATTGGCATCCACAACTTCAGTTTCTGAACGAGATAATGATTCATTCACCCATGCCTTCAAGCTCATTTCTCCATCAAACATTTTGTCTATAGGTTTCTGTCTTGTGAATGTTTCCATGAGTAAGATGCCATAGTTGTAAACAACCCCTTTTGTAGAAACTATTCCCAATGATCCATATTCCATATTAAATTATAATAATATAGTGTTTAATATTTAACAATGAAAAAATTTTAAAAATGGGAAAAATGAATGATCACCTAGTGCCATGTAGCCTATAGTGGCAATTGACATTGTCTGCATCACAGATTCCCCTTCTCCCAAAAGCTCGGCAAGGCCAAAATCCCACACGTGCAACCATATCTTCATCAAGCAACACATTGCTAGGTTTCAAATCACAATGGATGATTGGAACTGAATTTTCATGGTGGAGATATTTTAGAGTAGAAGCCACGTCAATCATTATATCCAATCTTTGCAAGACATTTAGACAACATCTATCAAAATATAACCACTTCTCCAAGGTTCCATTAGGCATGAACTCAAGCACTAAAGCTTTGAAGTCTTCATTACAGCAGCTGCTAATGATTTTGATCAGATTTTGATAGTGAAAACTGCATAATACTTCACATTCTATGCCAAAACTCTCTAGTACACCCTCTACTTGCAGATTGAAGACCTTTATTGCAATGTTCATTCCACCTAGAAGTGTCCCATTGTATACTGACCAAAAACTCCCTATGCCAAGTAAGTTTCTTTCATTGAAGTTGTCAATTGCATGTTGAAGTTCATGGTATGAAATTGTCTTCCATTTTGCTAGACTTGGCAAAATTTCTTCATCCATGGATTTTGCTTTTGATTTATGTTGTCTTTTGAAGATGATGATGACAACAAGGGAAAGTATCAATATGGTAGTTGCCACAAGTGGCAACACGAATTGTTGCACGTGGATCGATTTTTGGTGGGACTTACATGGCGGGACTTGAAATCTAGGCAAACCACAAAGGGCGGCATTTCCCATAAATGATTGAGTGACGAAGTTTCTGAATGATCCTCCACTTGGAATTTCTCCTTCAAGTCTATTAGAAGATACATTGAAGAAATTGAGATAAATGAGTCCTTCCAAAGACGTAGGAATCACTCCAGAGAGAATGTTGTTAAAGAGATCCAAGAATTTCAAGCTTACCAACCCATCAAATGACTGAGGAATGTTACCATCTAATGCATTTTTTGCCAAGGAAAGATAAGTTAGATCTTTGAAATCCCCAATACTGCTCGGCAAGTTGCTTGATAGCTGATTTCTAGATAAATCCATGCCGATCAAGACCTTTAGGTTTCCAAAATCTGATGGGAGAGAGCCATTAAAGGAATTTGAGGACAAGTTCACTTCCAAGATATATGTAAGACTCCAGAAGGTTAAGAGTATGGTGGAAACTAATTTGTTGGAATCTAGGTGTAGGGTTCTTAAAGAAGTCAAATTGGCTAAGCATTGTGGCAATGATTCATTAAGCTGATTGTAATTCAATAATAATTGATCTAATTTCTCTAAATGACATAGATCATTTGGAATTTTTCCTTGAAGTCTATTACTATAAAGATACAAACCTTGGAGCTATTGCAATCTTCCAATTGTTGCTGGAATTGGTCCTGTTAAATCATTACCAAAAAGACCCAAAGCTATCAAGTTGCTCAAGTTGCCAAGTTCTACAGGAATGTTTCCTTGGATTTTGCAATTTGATGCAAACAAATATTGAGGAGATGTGGATAGATTCCCAATTGAAGTTGGAAGGGTCCCACTCCATGAATTAGATGATATATCTAGTGTGTTAAAAAATTTGCAGTTTATCAAAGAAGAGAGAAAGCTTATTCCTAGAGTGGAGATTTCAGAGAACATGTTTTCTTATAGGATAAGCCTTTTGAGGGATCTTAGATTGCCTAGTGAATTGGGGAAAGGGCCAAAGAATGAGTTATTGAATACTTTTAGATCGGTAAGTTGGGAAGAATTGGAGATAAAACTAGAAAAAATGCCACCAAGTTTATTGTGACACAGAATTAGCATAGTAAGCTTTGGAAGCCCAAGTCCAATGGTTATAGGAAGATGGCTTGAAAGGATATTGTTTGGTAAGAAAATGATTTCCAAGGTTGAGATGTTAAATATCATCGGAGGAATAGAACTAATCAAGAAGTTGAATCCCATATCTAAAACCCTCAAGGGTAACTTGCCAACCTCCTCTGGCATTTCATCTATCAAACGAATACACAAATTAATTGATAAGCTTTTTAACTTGTATTCAAATTTTTGCAAATATAGAATTGTTCATGAAGATAAGAGATGAAGAATTAATTCTAGAAAAGAGTTTGCATCAGATTAGTAACTATCAAGACATCTTTAGAATTGTCAAAATAGTGGTTCGTGTGAGCTTATTGAGTCTTACCTTCCAAGTCATTGTGACCAAGATATATTTTAGTAAGTTTAGTTAAGTTCCAAATGCTTCTTGGGATGTATCCAATAAATCAATTAGTCACTAGAGACAAATTCTGAAGCTTCTTGCATCTACTTATACTTGAGGGATTTGATGAACCACTTAATTGATTATTGTATGGATAAAGCAACTCAAATTCGGTAGATGGTAGCACAAGTCAATAGAAGGGGTACTAGAGAGGCTATTTGCGTAGAAGTAAATCCATCTTAAGAAAGAGATATTAAAGATATTTGGTGAAATGAGACCAAAGAGGCTTACATTTCAAGTTGAAAGTTACTCCAAATTTTGAAGATTACTTATCTCCTACTAGTTATTCTACAAAAAAAATTGAGGGTTTACAGTCTAATGGAGAAGTGATGAATCCCACCTTAACGTTTAGTTGATACTTTCAAAGAAAAATAGACAACTTAGAAAAATATGAAATCATCCGTCTTGCTTTTGTATCTCCAACATATATTTCTCTTAGCTTATGTAAGTTCCCAATATTTTTAGATATAGTTCCTATAAGTTGGTTGTTTTCTACTTTGAGAATCTACAACTTTGAAAGCAAACTAAAGCTAAGAAGCATAAACTCAAAGTAATTAAGAGGGGTTTGCATTAGAGTGATGCCTATGAAGAAATTTTTACTAATGCTTACAATGTTGAGAGTGAAGTGTAGTGACTAAAAAATTATTACTCTCATGTATTATGAATGAAAATAAAACATATCCAATAATCTCACCTTCAAAGTGCTTCTTAGGATGTATCTAGTGAATCTATTAGTATCAAGAACCAATTGCTAAAGCCTCTTGCATCTACCTATGCTTGAGGGAATTGAGCCACTTAATTGATTCCCATTCAAATAAAGCTCCTCAAGATTTGGCAGATGATAGCACAAGTTAATAGGAAGGGTATTGGAAAGGTTATTTTTGAGTAGATAAATCCATTTTAATGAAGAGATATTGAAGATACATGGAAAAATGGGACCTGAGAGGCCTGCATTTCCAATTGAAAATTTCTCCAAGTTATGAAGATTACCATTCTCTTGTGGTACTTCCCCTATAAAAAAAAATTGGGAATTTAGAGTTTACTTGACAAATGATGAATCCCAACTTAACTTTCAGTAGTTACTAGCAAAGAAACAAAGACAACTTAGAAAAATATAAAATCATACCTCTTAGTTTTGAATCATCAAGATATATTATCCTTAGCTTAGTTAAGTTCCCAAAATTTCTTGGTATAATTCCTATAAGTTGTTTGTTTTCTACTTTAAGAATCTTTAACTTTGAAAGAAAACTAAGAATAACAAGAATAAACTCAAAAAAATTTAGAGGGTTTGCTTTAGATTGCTACTTGTGAGGAAATTTTTACCAACTTTAGTAATGTAAAGAGTAAAGTGCAGTTATTCAAGAATAATTAATCTAAGTATTATGAATAAAAAGAGAACATATTGAATCATTTTACCTTCCAAGTCATTGAAACCAAGATGTATTTTAGCAAGTTCGATTAAGTTCTCAATACTTATCAGGATGTAACCAGTGAATCTATTAGACCACAGTGACAAGATCTTAAGCTTCTTGCATCTACCTATGCTTGAGGGAATTGAGCCATTTAATTGATTCTCATTCAAATAAAGCTCCTCAAGATTTGGTAGATGGTAGCACAAGTCAATAGGAAGGGTACTAGAAAGGTTATTTGCATTGAGATAAATCCACCTTAAGGAAGAGATATTAAAGATATTTGATGGGATTTGACCTGATAGGAAGGGTACTATATGATACATTAAATTTGATATTTTAAAATGATTCATGTACATTTTCACTTTTAATGCTCTTATCAAGTTTTCTTATGAGCTACTACACGTATATATTCCTTTTTATTGCCTAAGTGTGTGAGGATATATAATTATGGAAAAAAGATTTCAAGAGAAAAAAAAATTTAGAAGTAACAACTTAAATTGAAATCAAAATCCTTAAGTTCTTTCTTAAAGAAACAAAGTTTGAAATGTAAAAAATAACAATAAAGACACAAGAAAGAGAGTAAAAGGTAAATATATTCAATTTCAACACATATTTTAACATATTGACATATAATCATTAGCAAGAATAATAGCCAAAACCACTCAATTTTTTCCTTGCCACCATCCTGGTATTGCCTATATATTTTCGAAGATACCAAACATTGTCCTGCCCTTCATGTATGTAACTTGCAAAAATCTCATCAACAATGCCTTTGACATATTTTGAAGTTATCCAGATTAGATCTTGGGAATGGATAAAAGCTAAAAAAAGG